AAACATGTAAAAAATCATTTTAAAGCAATATAAAACTGATTTAAAACATTCTGTTTTAAATCATTTGCCATCCCTATTTTTTGCCCCCCGTTCAACCCGAACCGGATCATTACTTTATAAATAAAGCTGCTTTAGTCCGAAATAGATTTCACAAGTCATGCCTCACTATTCGAATATCATTTCTTCTTTTAAGCTAATTTCCGTCAAAAAAAAAAAAAAGATAATATGATTATACAAGCCTAAAAGGGAAATTAGCTAATCGGAAATTGCAAAATTTGATTATACTGACATGTGAGTAAAACAAAGAAAAACAGGAAGAACTGGGAATAAAAGAGAAAATACAAGAAAATGGTGTCTTGAGGCACAAATTAAAAATGATGGGAATAAAATTTTACATACAGGAGGCGATTATTTACTTCTATCACCTCTAAATTTTAACGTCCTAACCCTAATTTCACGAACTTGGCTTTTTTGCTTGAGTTTCCTTTCTGGGACACAAATAAGTATTTCCCCTGGTAGTTTCACTGGTGCGTACATAAAATAACTATTGTTATTCATATAAATAAATATGATGATGTTAGTATTTTAAATTTCCTCCTAACCAAGTAACTTCCAATACTTTCTACAGTAACAATCTACGAAGAATAGCACCTTCTCTGTTTCTCCAAGAAAAAAAATCTTGATAGTTCTTAACGAAACATTCCAAAAAGAAAATGTCTTCCCAAAGTAATTACGTGCATTATAAATTTTTTTGTAAATGCAGACAAGAATTTCAATCCTTTACGGAATTTCTTAATCACTTAAAGGATTCTCACGAAATTGAAGAGGTGAATATGCCTGAAATTTTAGCCTCAGGAAATGGTCAAAAGATTGGCATTAAATTTTATTGGCATCTATCTTGTCAATGTGGACATAAATTTTCTTCCTCCTTATGTAATGCTGACTTAAAAGTAAAAGAGAAACAGATAGACTTAGTGAAACAATATCATTTGGATTGTGTAAAATGTGGTAAAGTTGCTCGATTTGATAAGAAAAAATTATTGAATGAATTTCTTAAAGAAAGAGTTCAACAAATATTGATTTATAGTTTTTATAGAGGAAAATTTACTCAATTTACCGGTGAACATAGTGAAAAAAAATTGAAGGGTCATAGACAAGATCTTTGTGAAAAATGTAAATCGTTAAATAGATATTGTGGTGAGCAATAAAAGTATTAAGAATCAATTAGCCAGATATACTTTATTTTCGGTATATGTACTTACAATTTATAAAAAGGTAAAAGTCATTAAAATTTTAATAAAAATAAAGAATAAAAAAATAAAAGTTATAATAATAAGTACTACGATTTAGGGAAAATAGGTGCCATCATATTGACAAAGGTAAATACGTATTGGATTAAGACTTTCTCTATTAGAGGCATTACGATTTGGCGGCATCTTTTTACTAATCACTTTATTGTTTATTCTTCAACACTACACTAACTATTTTATTATTTATAACGATTTCTTTACTATGATCTTTAGCCCTTCCCGGGCACTACTAAAGAAAAGTAAGAGTATTACATTGACTTGTCTCGTTATACATTCGTATACCTAATACTTTACTAACGGTTATACTCTATTCACTAAATTTTTCCCACCAATTTCTACTACCCAATTGTTCATCATGTCACCATTCTGAAATCTCATTGTTGTGAATTTGATCCACGCCCGATTTGGTAATGTGTTGGTCTTGCGATTGTAGAGTTTAAAGTTGTTGGGGACGAAAATACACGTTTCATCCAATTTCGATCACGAATGCATTCATCGATTGTGGTACGGGGTACGATCATCGATCGTATTACGTCGCGTCACGATCTTTTAGTCACGATCCATTTTACAATAAACAAAATAATTCAAAATACATGCATTAAAGGGGACACAAATAAACATGAAATGGACAAATTATATAAATACTTAAATCATATAAATATTTATTCCACTATGAAATTAAAGAAAACGAGAAAATTGACATACAGTACATCCATTAATACCCTTGAAGAGGTTGTTATTTTAGATAAAGCTAAGTTTAACATAAGGGTGAAATAGAATCGCAATCAAAATATCAAAAACCGTCAACTTTCACAGTGGTATAATAAATAAGGTATGGCTTTAATCTTTTGTTCTATAGATGCGATCAAAAACAAAAAAGACTTCACACTCACGAATCAGATTTCAAGATATGGTTCAACGTAACACGATCAAAAAAAATCAAAACAAACGACCGTTTTGTCAATAATCGCATATTTCTCGAAATTCAACATAACCGATACAAGAAACTTGTTTATAAAATTATAGTACTAGATCACATAAAAAGATGAAGCCTAATTGACAATTGTTTGGAGTATTTCTTTACTAGGAGCTAGCCATAGGGTGTCGTTCATATAGGCTAGCACAGAAGTATGGTATGTAATTGGGTTGTGGTTGGGAGATTGTACATTCATAGTATAGCCTTGGAATTCAGCATATATAGTGGTAATAAGTGGGTCATAGTAGATGCGCCAGAGAAGAGATGTAATGGTTTCGTCTTGGTCAATCTCATCATATACTGGATAGAGCAGAGTTGGCCCAAGATTTGTTATAACTGAGTTTTGCCAATCTATGAGAATGTTAATAATTAGTTGTTGCATGTTGTCTGGGATTTGTAGCCTGTTTAGTGCATGCTGAAGTAGAGGTAGATGTACTGAATCATATGCCTTACTCATGTCCTGTGAGAGAAGCCAAACTTTCTTGTTTTGGGTTTGAGCTTCTTGCAGGATATTTGTAAGGATATGAATTGGTTGTGTTGTAGAATTGTGTGAAGTTGCTATGAAGTTGTTTGGGTGAAGTATTGGGTACCATGTCA